TTGGGAGGCTGAGGCAGGAGGATCACTTGAGCCCAGGAGTTTGAGGTTGCTATGAGCTATGATTAGTCTGGGCAACAGAGCAAGAGCCTCAAAAACAAAAAAAAAAATAGATTTACCAATTAATTTTGTTTTATTTTTCAGATTACACTAGATGTGTTGGCTGACATGGGTCACGAAGAGTTGAAAGAAATAGGCATCAACGCATACGGGCACCGCCACAAATTAATCAAAGGAGTAGAAAGACTTTTAGGTGGACAACAAGGTAAGCTACTCAGAAAACAGTAAATTTCAGAAATTAGTGGTACGAGATAAATGTCAAGGCTGGCGTTGGAACTCAGGCAGTCTGGCCCCAGAGCCATGCACTGAACTAGTGTGGTATCTCCTGCCTTCCCCATCTCAGTCATTGGCGTCACACTCCCTCCAACTGGAAAAGTCTCAGCCTCAGTCTTCCCTCTCTTCCCACGCTTCATGCCCTAAATTTCTCTGGAATCTCTGTACTCTGTCCTTTCCCACTGCTGTCACCTAATCCAAGCCACACTGTCTCTCTCCTGAACTGTCAGCCACCCTCCAGCTTATCTCAGCCTTCACCTTTGCCTCGAGCCAGTACCTTCCCTGCACTGTAACCGCAGGACTCTTTGAGAATGAGCATGTGAGCATATCACTTTCATTGCTTAAAACCCCTCCCTAGAAGCCTGTTGCTTTTAGGATAGAATCAGACATTCGTGACATAGCTTTTCGTAGTCTGACCTTTCTCCGTCCCTCACGACTGTCAGCTCAGTCCTCTTCCATTGCACTTTGCTGTTTCCCTCCGTGCTTGTCAGTTGTCTGTTTCTTAGAACTGTCACTCTGGGAAAGCAGGGAAGAGAAAGGAAACAACTGGAATATGTCAGTTAATTAATCTACGTAGCTAAGAGTTATTTGAAACTAACAGTTAAGAGGTTTTGAGCTTAAGTCTTGCTTATTTATCTCTATTTTTGTCCCCCCCCACGAAATTAACAAGGATAATGTATTTTAAAGCTATTGTAATAGCTGTTTCAAGCCATCTCATAAGAGTTTTTAGAGGATAATTCTTATATTTTGACCTGACTACATTGTAATTTTAGGGTGTGTTTCTCTTCTGTGTCAGACATAGTTTCATGTATGTTCATGATTGAGTTCATTTCAACAAATACTTGTTGAGCTCTGTTGGATGCACAGGGGAGGTCTGTAAAAATAGACACAATTGATCCCCAAACACATCTCTGTTTCTTCTCCTGTCTTTGGGTGTATTTAATATAACCTTATGTATCAGGTGCAAATTGCAAATTGCAAATAGTTTAGGTTTATTTCAAAATGTCAATTGTTTTTGACAGAGATTTCCCTAAGATAGAGCCTGAGTAGTGTGGACATTAGTTTTATATGTTACTTTTTCTCCCCTACAGGCACCAATCCTTATTTGACTTTTCACTGTGTTAATCAGGGAACTATTTTGCTGGATCTTGCTCCAGAAGATAAAGAGTATCAGTCAGTAGAAGAAGAGGTAATGTACACCAAAAATCTTTAATTTTCTTTTCCTGAAACCTATGGTTAAACCTGTTTTTCCAGGAGAGTTACCATCTCATCTTAACATTGTCACATGGTCACTTGCCTATCTATCATTCAGTCTCCCTTAGTCATCGTGGTGGAATATTGTCAAAATTAAAATATGAGCGTAGATTATAACTATGCCACATTGCATTCACATCGTAAGCCTGGGGTTTGCAATGAGTGGGGCAGAGCTGTTCTCTTATTCTGGAGATTTTCTTGACATTTACACAAGTAAGGATCCTATTCCCACTATTTCCTTGTATTGTTATAGTGCTACCCAAGAATGATATGGAGTATCTTTTAATCTTTATTATTATGCAGGTATAAAACATGATTATAAAATAATGTCCCCAATTTTTATGTATGCTTCTGAGTCTGCCTCATAATTCTGTGTCATGTTTCATTCCTTCAGTCACAATTATTCTAAGCTCCAGATTAAGGCTATTTGTGTGGACCTCCTGGTAGACAAATGCCATGGAGAGCCCCTCTCCACTGATTGTTTATTATGGGTAAGAAGTGAGGCATAAGCTAAGTGCCTAATTCCATTATTATGCAAATACCTAAGCAGAAAAAGGTATGCTTACATTTTTGGGTTTTTTTATTTTAACTAATTGCCCATATTATTCTCATGCTAGGAAGTCATTAGGGAACTCAGGACCATAACCCTGGGGCAGTATTTCAGCTCAGACTTAGCTTATCAGGAAGACATCATGTGTTTGTTCTAGCGTCTTATCTCCTATTGCCCCAGTAGTTAGTACAATAAATTCTGATACTAATGTCAAAAATATAGTGACTTTCTTCACAAATAGAGCACTGAGATAGAAAATTTATTTACTCTGAGTTAACTTCTTTGAGAAACTTAGGTCTTTAAAATATTTTTTCCATAATTGTTTTTTAATTTGAAAAGTGGAAGAAGGATGAGCAGTGGTCAGAAGAAAATTATTCCCTTTAGTAATACATTATGGTCAACTTCCCTGGTCTATGCAGGTACACTTAAAGACCCCAAGTTAAAGACTATTGAGAGAGGTGATCTGTTGGGAAGTGTGCCACTAGCTGTTTGATCTGCAGGGCCATAAGTTTATTTTGACTCCTGTCTCATTATTGTTCAAGAACAATTTCAAAATGCTCTACCAGATGTTAAAACACCTGTAGTTCAGATAAAGGGGATATTTCCCATGCTTATTTCAAATAAATTAATAAGTCTGTTGAGATAATATGGAATATTTTACCTAGGAAACAAAACTATATTGATTCTTTTTAAATTACTGTTTATTTTTAGCATTTGTCCAGTGGGTATTAACTGAATGTGAGTTTTTGTTTGGCTTAATCACAATGTTGCTTCTCATTCTCAATAACATAAAATAGTAATTGTAAATGATTTAATGAGATATTTTTTCTGTATGTTTCCTTATTGTGTTTACGGAAAAATCTTTCAGAGCTTTTATTTAAAAATAAATCAAAAATGCATACATTTAATATTTATGTTTGTGACTATTTCCTCACCAGAAGTACTTATCCACTAAACTTGCTGATTTATAATGAACTCCGATTTATTTATTAGTGATTGAGTTTTAGGCTCATCACTAAAA